ATTCGCTTTCACAAATTGGCTACACATTGGTTTTAAAAACGAAACACGATGTTGAAATTACGTATGACCTTCCAACAAATCGAGATCAGAGGGAGTTCGAAAGGAAGAGAACGAATAAAGGTACAAAGAATCGTGGAAAACCGCTTCAATTATCATTATTGGTTCACGTTTCGACTCATGCTTTATGGATTGAAAGGGAAAAAAGAATAACAGTCCTTGATTCGAGATTAAAGCTTCAGACGCTCGGGAATTTGCATAAATTACAACAATTCATTTTCTTTAAGTTAACCAGTTTTCAGCAGCGTTTTAATTTGCATAATTAGGCAATTTGGAAGATTTAGGAGCTCTATAATTTAGTTGACGATTGATCGAGAATTAACAATGTATTGATAAATGTTCTGTAATTAAGATTTAACACTGAACCTACTGTTGTATAATATGTAGTTTATTTATTAGATTGTTCAGATTCGATTGTATAAACTTGCTTGACCAAATTCAGTTATGCAAATATGCTTGACCATATTAGGTTATACATTAGATTATACACCGGTTAGATTAGATTATAACCGGTTTGGTGGCTTCAGTGTTAATTAATAAATTCGCTATATTTTTTCGTAGATCAAAATTCTTGAAAAGTACATCTGTTTCTAATATTTACAAGATATATTAAAAAAGTCAACGTTAAAATATAAATTAGAATTTAATTCTTTATGTCGATAAATGTCAACAATTTTAAAAAAACCAGCATTACAAATTTTGTGACCTGAAGTGAGAGAGTTATGAAACGGCCATATAACCGGTTTGGTTTCAGTCTTAATTAATAAATTAACTGTATTTTTCCGTAGATCAGAATACTTGCAAAATACATCTCTTTCTAATATTTACAAGATACATTAAAAAAACCACCATAACAAATTTTGTAACTTCAAATGAGAGAGTTATGAAACGGCCATATAACCAGTTTGGTGGTTTCAGTCTTAATTAATAAATTCGCTGTATTTTTCCGTAGATCAGAATACTTGCGAAGTACATCTCTTTCTAATATTTACAAGATATATTAAAAAAACCATTATAACAAATTTTGTAACTTAAAATGAGGGAGTTATGAAATGGCCATATAACCGGTTTGGTTTCAGTCTTAATTAATAAATTCGCTGTATTTTTCCGTAGATCAGAATACTTGCGAAGTACATCTCTTTCTAATATTTACAAGATATATTAAAAAAACCATTATAACAAATTTTGTAACTTAAAATGAGAGAGTTATGAAACGGCCATATAACCGGTTTGGTTTCAGTCTTAATTAATAAATTCGCTGTATTTTTCCGTAGATCAACATACTTGAAAAGTACGTCTAATATTTACAAGATGAATTTAAAAAAATGTGTTTTAAAGGAGAGTTAAATTTTGTTTAAAAGAAATGTATTCCATATTAGGCTAGTTAGCAGACAGCAACCTGTTAAACCTGACGATCAACAACGAACTTAGAAAGTCTAGCAACTGATCCGTTACACAGCGTTTGCTCCATCGCCGCTACTTATTTCGTCGAATAGAATTTTACACCGGCACTGTGATTTTGTACGTTCACCGTGCCAGAGAAATGCGATAATTCATCAGTTTCGCAGACAATTCCTACCTTTTGTACGATAGTTACGTTGTGCTTGCAATCGGAGTTTCTTTTCATTACTCAACTTTCTTTTTTATACGCCAAAAGGCACGTTCTACATGCCTGCTTTCTTATCGTTTTCTATTCTTATGTTGCTTTTTTGCTGGGTCTCCTTTTTTTTAGCTCATCGAATTCTTCCGCGATTTCTAGATAAACGCGTGTACACAGGTGGGAAAAGTATGCTGATTTTCAATTTTGCGATGTTAGGATTACCTTTGCTATTTTTTCTAATAGCAAAAGTGCGTGATCTGGAATATTTGTCAGATTGATTTTTAATAACCATGGAATTTGATTTACTATTTTTGTTTTGTTACAATAAATGTTTTTTACAGTAAAACTCAAATCAACGATGTCAAATGAACATTTTTTAATATTCTTTATTTTAAGTTATAAAAATTGTTATGCTGGTTTTTTTTATATATCTTGTAAATCTTAGAAGAAGATGTACTTTGCAAGTATTCTGAACTACGGAAAAATACAGCGAATTTATTAATTAAGACTGAAAACACCATACCGGTTATATGGCCGTTTCATAACTCTCTCATTTTAAAAGATAAAAAATTGATGTGTACAATGCAAAATAAACTGAAAATTGTAAAATTCAAAAAATCACAATAAAATTGAAAAAGTCCTAGAATTGTAAAATTTAAAAAATCCCTAGAATTGTAATACTTTGCTCCAAAATTTAAAAAACCCAAGAATTATAAAATTGTAAAATCAAAAAATCCCTAGACTTGCAATACTTTACTTTAAAATTAAAAATACCCTAGAATCGTAAAATTGTAAATTTCAAAAATCCCTAGAATTTCAATTCTTTGCACTGAAATATAAAAAACCCAAGAATTGTAAAATTAAAAAATCTCTAGAATTGCATTACTTTGCTCCAAAATTTAAAAACCCTAGAATTGCAAAATTGTGAAATAAAAAAATCCCTAGACTTGCAATACTTTACTTTAAAATTAAAAATACCCTAGAATCGTAAAATTGTAAATTTCAAAAATCCCTAGAATTTCAATTCTTTGCACTGAAATATAAAAAACCCTAGAATTGTAAAATTAAAAAATCCCTAGAATTGCATTACTTTGCTCTAAAATTTAAAAAACCCAAGAATTGTAAAATTGTAAATTTAAAAAATCCCTAGAATTTCAATTCTTTGCACTGAAATATAAAAAACCCTAGAATTGTAAAATTAAAAAATCCCTAGAATTGCATTACTTTGCTCTAAAATTTAAAAAACCCAAGAATTGTAAAATTGTAAATTTAAAAAATCCCTAGAATTTCAATTCTTTGCACTGAAATATAAAAAACCCTAGAATTGTAAAATTAAAAAATCCCTAGAATTGCATTGCTTTGCTCTAAAATTTAAAAAACCCAAGAATTGTAAAATTCAAAAAATCCCTATACTTGCAATACTTTGCTCTAAAATTTAAAAAATCCTAGAATTGCAAAATTCGAAAAATGCCTAACCTTGCAATACTTTACTCTAAAATGTAAAAATCCCTAGAATTGCAAATACTCTAACCCCAGAATTCAATACTCTAAAATTTGAAATAACCCAGAATTCCAATACTGTAAAACCTTATAATACAAAAACAGATGTGTTCAATAGAAAATAACCGTAATCACATTAAACTAAACGGAAGCAGAATGACGCATCGACGCGAAAGAATCAACACACGCGTTAGAAACAGCTCTTCAATATTTATCCAATGACGATGATTTACTGCCGCATATTTGTTAACTCAACCTTTCTAATATGTGGAAAGTAACTTTGCACGTACGAGAAGAATTCACGCTTTCTGCTCTACTTGTTGCTCTTCCAAACAATCCGATATTACGCTTCATATTGAATTATTCATACAAAAACAGTTTCAGACGCGGATAATTCGATTTCAAATATTAAACAGTTCAGAGAAGATTCATAGATCGTAAGAGAACAATTAAACGACTATAGAAAATTTTTGATGCATTACTTCATTGCGAAAGTACGCGAATTATTAGAAAAATTATGCTATCTATTTTACCATCGATCTTATCTAATCTATGCTCGCGTTCGAATCGTCGTTAATTTAATAACTTCTTTGATATTGACAGTGAAAACTGGTCTCACACTTGTTTGGGACTGAAATTTACTCTCACGTTTATTTTCTGGATGATTGTTTATTGGTACTTAATAAACGTGAATTTTTTAACAAAGTAGAATGATGATTTGCGTTATGTTAGTTTCAGTTTAGTTTTCATTTAGTTTTATGTTAGTTTTAGGATAGTTTTAGCTGGGCTTCAGTTTAATTTAATTTGAGGATAGTTTAGTTTTATATTAGGTTAGTTCTAGTTTACTTTAATTTTAGGTTAGGTTAGTCTAGTTTAATTTAATTTTAGGTTAGGTTAATTTAGTTGAGTTCAATTTCAGGTTAGGTTGGTTTAGTTGAGTTCAATCTTAGGTTAAGTTTGTGTAGTTTAGTTTAGTTTAGTTTTAGGTTATGTTAATTCAGTTTATTTTAATTTTAGGTTAGATGAATTTAGTTTAGTTTAATTTTAGATTAGGGTGGTTTAGTTTAATGTAACTTTAGGTTAGGTTAGTTTAGCTTAGTTTAATTTTAAGTTGGATTAGTTTGGTTTAGTTTAGTTTTAGATTGGTTAGTTTTAGTTTAGTGTGGTTTTATGTTAGGTAAATTTTGTTTAGTTTTAGGTTAGGTTGGTTTAGTTTAGTGTAACTTTAGGTCAGGTTAGTTCAGTACAGTTTAGTTTAATTTTAAGTTAGGCTAGTCTGGTTTAGTTTAGTTTTAGATTGGGTTAGTTTTAGTTTAGTTTAGTTTTAGGTCGGGTGAATTTAGTTTAATTTAATTTTATGTTCGGTTGGTTTACTGGAATGTAACTTTAGGTTATGTTAGTTTAGTTTAGTTTAATTTTAAGTTAGGTTACTTTGGTATAGTTTAATTTTAGGTTAGTTTAGTTTTAGATTAGATTAGTTCTCTTTTAGTTTAACTTTTGATTAGGTCAGTTTAATGTAGTCTAATTTTAAGTTAGGTTGGTTTAGTTTAGTTCATTGTAATTTAGCTTAGTTCAGTTTGGAATGTCGAAGATCAGCAACAAAATATGGTTAGGTTAGGTTAGTAAATAAACATGATACACATGTACATGATGTTTTGTTTTATAGAATTTCGAAAAATCAGCAGTGAAGCATTTTTAGATTAGATTAATAAATAAACATTATACATTTGTACATAATGTTTTGTTTTATAGAATGTCGAAAAATCAGCAACAAAATATAGTTAGCTGAAGTTAGATTCGTAAATAAATACGAAATATTTATACATAATTTCTTGCTTCACAGAATGTCGAAAAATCAGCAACAAAATGGAATGATGCCAGGGGGAGCAGCGATGGCGGGCGCTGACGATTTTTCCGATGGCGAGAGTACACCATTGACTCAAGATTATGGCGACAGGTATGTAACACATGCTAAACAACCATGATATTGGCAAACATACACGTTTTTTACTCCAACAAAGTGTGAAGAGGTCGTTTTTCAACTCAAACCTCGTGTTCCGAGATAAATTGCGAATATTACCGAAGTAAATAATCATTTTTCTTCTGAGCTTGTGGTTACAGTGGATGCGTTTTACGACGAACACTGTGGTGTAATCGGTTTCATTGGAAACTTATTCATTGAATTATGTTTCTGTAATCGTGCCTTAAATTATTTCGAAAGGTACATGAATTTTTTTGTTTCTAATTTTATTGGGGAAAGTTGAGAGAATTCTTAGAAGGACTTTAGTAGGAAATGTTAGGTTAGGTTAGGTTAGTTAATTAACTTAGGTTTGACGAATGTATAATTAATTTTGTAATAATCATTTTAAACGTTTGAAAACATAGATGAATTTTTTGTTTCTAATTTTATTAAGGAAAGTTGAGAAAACTACAGTAAAAAAGTTTAACAGTTTAGATTTGATAAATCGGCAAATGTATTAATTTTATTATCATGGTTTCAAATATTTCAAAGCATAGATGAACTTTTTATTATGGAAAGTTGAGAGAATTATTTTTTTAGAAGAATTTCAGTAATAAAGTTCTGATCTGACAAATGTATAATTAATTTTGTAATGATAATTAAAAATATTTCAAACTAAATTCTTTTGTTTTTAATTACATCAAGGAAAGTTGGGAGAACTTTTTACTTAAGAATTTCAACAATAAAGTTCAGCAGTTTAGATCCGACAAATCGATAAATGTATAATTAATTTTGCAAGTAAAATTAACGATCGCATGAATTAATGCATTAGCGAATGCATCAAGATTGAATATCGTTATCTTTACGAATATCGTTATCACATCGATCGTGTTATTAGATTACTATCTTATCGATATGGATGATAATGCATTTTAGAAGTGTCAATAACTGTATCTATTTCTAACGTTATTTAAACGTTGTGTCAATGAAGAAGTAATCCAAAATAATTTATAAACAAATTTTCTTGAGGACGTCTTACAGAATTGTTAAATTCAATCTTTTTTAAATACAACTTTACGTCAAAATATTTTTTCGATTTTAGTTATTCAAATATATTTTTTAATTTATATATTTATTTCTAAATCTCAATTTATTTATTTGTTTCTTCATTTCTGATTTATTTATTTCTTTCTGCATTTGTGATTTATTTGTTTGTTTCTTTATTTCTGATTCATTTATTAGTTTCTTTATTTCTGATTTATTTATTTGTTCCTACATTTTTTAGCTGTTTACTTATGCATTTGTTTAAATATTTTCAATTTATTTATTTTCTGTCATGTTTTTTATTTATTCATTTTTTTTTAAATCTTTTATTTATTTATTCCCATATTCTCAATTTACTTATTTCATTCTGCGTTTTCTATTTATTTATTCACTGTTATTTTTTGTTATTCGTTTAATTGTTTTCATAGTTTTGATTTAGTTATTTGTTCCTATACTTTCAATTTATTTATTTGTTCCTATACCTTCATTTTATTTATTTCTTCTATTTACTTATTACTATTTTTTGTTATTTATTTATTTGTTTTCACATTTTTGATTTATTTATTTGTTTCCATATTTTTTATTTATTTATGCGATTTATTTATTTGTTTCTGTATCTTCAATTTATTTATTTGTTCCTATACCTTCATTTTATTTATTTCTTTTTACGTTTTCTTTTACTTACTTATTACTATTTTTTATTTATTTATTTGTTTTTACATTTTTGATTTATTTATTTGTTTCCATATTTTTCATTTATTTATTTGTTCCCATATTTTCAATTTATTTATTGGTCCTATATTTCCATCTAATTAATTCATTCGTATGTTACTACTTTATGTACTCAATAAAAATTTATTAATAGCGACATCACAATTATCACCATACTAATTAGCTTCGTTAAGATTCACTTTTTATCAACACAGAACTGTCCTTTCACACGCTATTTCTACCCAAATTACCTTCACCATAACACATTTCTTTTCCCAAGCAAAACCCAAAAGTAATTTTCGTTTCCACATATTTTTCTGACGTGATCAGTTTCTTTTATCAGATAAACAAACTCCCCAAACGCAAACACGAATTTCAAGAAAATTGCGAAACTTTTATAGTCGTTGAATATTTATTTGCTTTTTTAACCTTTTTTTTTTAGTCAAAGGACGGTCGTGGAAACGAAAGGATGGGATGTGTTTCGAAATCCACCGCCGAAAATCGATTCCGGATCGATGGCCAATCAAAGATGTTTCGAAATGACGGTACAAGTAACGAAGGTTGTCGTCTATCTGTTAGTATTTGTGATAGTGTTGGGAAGCGGTGTGGTTGCCAAAGGAACGATACTGTTTATGACGTCTCAGTTGAAAGCTGATCGAAAAATCGTTCACTGCAATAAGGACTTAGGTGAGCGACCCTAACCTCTTCATTTTATTAACCTTGAAGGTCACGTGTCATCAAAATAACATAACTGGTGTATGGGGACGTTTAAGACTATAGTCACTAAAAATTTTTATTACAAAGAAGCTATTTTTAATTTTAACTAAACTATTTTATTAACTAATAGTTGATAATGTATTAATAGTTTAACAAGTTCATAATAATGTATTAAAAGATTAAGGAAGTCCTTAATATTTCTCCAAGTTTAAAATAAAACAATTATTTACAAATTTTCAAAGTTCAGTCCAATTAGTTCACAAGTTAAATATTATTATTATTCTGTCATTTAAAATTTAAAGTGATTTAAGATGAAAAAGTCAATTTGTAATGCAAATAATTTCGCATAAAGAACAATAGCATATTAATGGAAGCATCTGCATGCAAATCAATACACTTTTTACCCGACTGTCCTCTGATTGCGGAAATTCGGGTATGGAATTTTATAACTACTTTCGTTATCTAAGATCGAGTGATCTAAAGCCTGAACACAAAGTAGCGTTTCAACCTGGTTTCACGTACTTTCTCTCCTTCTGCACAGCAGGGTACACATATATGTCGATGGCAAAAAAAAACGCTGTTACGAGCACGATCTACTTTTTATATTGCATATTTCGTACTGGATTCATGGGCGTAGCCAGAGAAAAAATTCTTTGGTACTCTGAAAGATTAGTGTGTGGTACAAGTAAATGATAGAAAGTTACTTAAGAAATACTTCGGGGCAATTTATATTGATTTTTTATCGTATTGACTTTTATCTACAATTTAAGTGATTTCGTATTGGATTCATGAGCGTAGCCAGAGAAAAAATTCTTTTCGTACTCTGAAAGATTAGTGTATGTCATAAAAATTAAATTTAAGAGATCAAAGCAATTTATACTGATTATTTATCGTATCGGCTTTCAACTACAATTTATGCGATTACAGATAAAATTGCACAAAATTAAATATTAGTATCACATCAATGTCAATCGACTAATTTAACAATATTTACATAGTTGAGAAATAAGCAAGGTTTGAACAGAGTTTAAAAATGAACTTATTCGATGATCGTTCAAAGGTTTGATATTACTTGCCGCCAAACAATATTCATTGTCCACAGAAGATCTTAATAGCCTTGTAACGAAAGAGTCATCAATCTTGAACAGTTCGAATTACCACATGATACTGACTTTAAATAAAAGTTATAAGAATGGACTGTAATATTGAAAAGTTTGCAAGAAAATAAATGCGATATTTATTGTGAGACAAATTTTATTTTATTTTTGATTCGCGACTAATTTTCATGAACGTTTTAACGTGTTTAGACACGGGTTTGGTTCTCTATTCTGCACGCGAAATTCACTTTCACCGCAACCGTTAACCTTGATGTTGCAGATTGTTTTGCAATGTGCTCTTCGAAAAAAGACGTCGATCAGTATCACGAGTGATCAATAATACAAATTCAATTCGCTCGACAAAGAATAGTGGGCTTGAACTTAGCTTTATATGTATCTCGTGTCACATCTACACGGTAATAATTATATAATTATTTAAGAGGAAGGTACATGCACTCAATGTGAACGGGGAAGATAACTCTTCATTGTTCGGTTATGTAATGCGTACATGTACATTTTACTCTAGATTATTGTACAGTGGTATTTTATGAAGCGAAAATACGGTGTCGTCTTCCACATTTCAATATTTTATTAAATTATTGGAAGCTATTGATTCTCTTTGAAGTCTCTTATTGAAACTCCTCGGAATTATTTTTAAAGGTTGCAAATGATTCAATTTTCTGTGTGAGATTAATAATATTATTATTTAATTTTATGATGTAATAATTGTACAATCATGTAACAATTATAGATATAACCTGCTAATTATAAAAAGAAGTCATGGTAGATTTTAAATGGCAATGGAAAGACAAAAGAATTGTAAGGAAGTATTGAAAAGTTTGTAAGCTAATACCGCTGAGGAGTAGCATCGATAGAAGAATTTTATAAAGGTTGAAAAGTTGTATAACTGAAGAATTGAAGAATTGAAGAATGGAAGAATTGCAGAGTTACAGAATTGAAGAATTGGAGAATGGTAGAATTGAAGAATTGAAGAATTGAAAAATGGAAGAATTGAAGAATTGAAGAATTGAAAAATGGAAGAATTGAAGAATTGAAGAATTGAAAAATGGAAGAATTGAAGAATTAATTGAAGAATGGAAGAATTGAAGAATTGGAGAATTGAAGAATTGAAGAATTGAAAATTGGAAGAATTGAAGAATGGAAGAATTGAAGAATTGAAGAATTGAAGAATTGAAGAATTGAAAATTGGAAGAATTGAAGAATGGAAGAATTGAAGAATTGGAGAATTGAAGAATTGAAGAATTGAAGAATTGAAGAATTGAAGAATTGAAGAATTGGATAATCGTAGATTTGAAGAATTGAAGAATCGCAGAATTGAAGATTTGGAGAATTGAGTCATTGAAGAATTAAATAGATAAATAATTGAACATTGGGTAATTGTATAATTGAAGAATTGTAGAATTGAATAATTGAAGACTTAAATTTTTTCGTTCACGTGAAAAGTATTTCTAACATTCCTACAATTTTAGTTAATTAAAACGATTTCAGAAACGCGTATACCAATTCTAATTCGAAAGCTGTGACACAGTTGTGCTATCTATTAGTTATAATTAAGTTTATGCAAGTAGGTCGTTTGACTTCTGAGAAGCTGGAGAAGATCGTATAACAGGTTGATTAGTACGAGAAATTTATTTAAAGTGCAGTTGATTAGTATAGCTTCTAAATAACTTTCATACAACTACATTGTTTTGCATACATTATAGAAAGTAGAATATTACTGCTACACATAAATATTTATTAGGTGCTATACTCATATGTATACTGGACTGGAGTGCAAAAGTACTGGAATGTAAAAGTACTCCCACGCTTTAAAATGGTTTGATGTTATTACAATTGAAAGAAACTTGAATTTTATGGAGGAATTTAAAAAACTGGTTTAAAGAATTATTTGTTTTGTCTTTTCAAAAACAGTTTCTTATTCACCGAAATATATTAATATTACGACATTTATTGCGACTTTATTTGAACCTGTTACGAAAATTTATGAACTATTTTTTGGGATGTTAGTTCTCAAATTTATGGGCTTACGAATAGTTACATTTTTTAATTTTGATGTTTGAGAATTTAGAAATTTTTTCTTTTGATGTTCAAGTTTCCTAATTTTCAAGTTTGAATGTTTCTTAATTTCTAAATTAACATAATTTTAAGTTTTTGTATTTCGGGATTTCTATATTGTTACATCTCTAAATTTCTAAATTTCTATATTTTCAAATTTTGAAGTACACAAACTTTCAAGTTTCCAAATTTTTACATTACCAATTTTCTTAAAATACTAGATTCCAATTTTTTAATATTTCCAAATCTCCAAATCCAGAAATCCACAAATCCACAGATCCACAGATCCACAGATCCACAGATCCACAGATCCACAGATCCACAAATCCACAGATCCACAGATCCATAGATCCATAGATCCAAAAATCCAAAAATCCAAAAATCCAAAAATCCAAAAATCCAAAAATCCAAAAATCCAAAAATCCAAAAATCCAAAAATCCAAAAATCCAAAAATCCAAAAATCCAAAAATCCAAAAATCCAAAAATCCAAAAATCCAAAAATCCAAAAATCCAAAAATCCAAAAATCCAAAAATCCAAAAATCCAAAAATCCAAAAATCCAAAAATCCAAAAATCCAAAAATCCAAAAATCCAAAAATCCAAAAATCCAAAAATCCAAAAATCCAAAAATCCAAAAATCCAAAAATCCAAAAATCCAAAAATCCAAAAATCCAAAAATCCAAAAATCCAAAAATCCAAAAATCCAAAAATCCAAAAATCCAAAAATCCAAAAATCCAAAAATCCAAAAATCCAAAAATCCAAAAATCCAAAAATCCAAAAATCCACAAATCCATAAATCTCCAAATCTCCAAATCTCCAAATCTCCAAATCTTTAAATCCTCACTCCTATATACCAAGTCCCCAATTTCCTAAACAGCCCTAACCATCTAAATTTCCAAATATCCCTAAACCTCCATATTTTCAAAATTTCCCAAATTCGTAGCTAGAAATCTTCAAGACAGCATAAAAATCGCTCTGTCTACATCAATAATTGCAATAAAACTGTTTCAGGACTCGACAAGGAATACGTATCAGTATTATCAGAAGAAGAAAGGATAGCATGGATCTGGTGCATAATCATAGCGTTCGCCGTGCCAGAATTCGGCACACTGATTCGAAGCATTCGAATATGCATCTTCAAGTCCTGGAAGAAGCCGCTCGTATCTCATTTTCTTCTGGTGTTTCTCATGGAAACGTTCCACGTGGTTGGTCTTGCTTTAATGTTCATGGCAGTGCTCCCCGATTTGGACGTCGTTAAAGGAGCCATGTTAACCAACTGCGTGTGTTTCGTGCCGGGTTTATTAGGTAAGTATTTTTCAAAAAATGAATATTACATTGTATTACATTACATGTAATATTACTGAATATTACATGAATATTACAGTCCCTGAGAAGTAGGAAAATTTTACTTTCATATACACAGTATGTCGGAAAAATAACGGAACTTTTTAAATAAAAAGAAAAGAGTTATTTTGCCAAAATTAATTTCTTCTATTCAAAATACATCCTTTACAATCCAAAAATCCAAAAATCCAAAAATCCAAAAATCCAAAAATCCACAAATCCATAAATCTCCAAATCTCCAAATCTCCAAATCTCCAAATCTTTAAATCCTCACTCCTATATACCAAGTCCCCAATTTCCTAAACAGCCCTAACCATCTAAATTTCCAAATATCCCTAAACCTCCATATTTTCAAAATTTCCCAAATTCGTAGCTAGAAATCTTCAAGACAGCATAAAAATCGCTCTGTCTACATCAATAATTGCAATAAAACTGTTTCAGGACTCGACAAGGAATACGTATCAGTATTATCAGAAGAAGAAAGGATAGCATGGATCTGGTGCATAATCATAGCGTTCGCCGTGCCAGAATTCGGCACACTGATTCGAAGCATTCGAATATGCATCTTCAAGTCCTGGAAGAAGCCGCTCGTATCTCATTTTCTTCTGGTGTTTCTCATGGAAACGTTCCACGTGGTTGGTCTTGCTTTAATGTTCATGGCAGTGCTCCCCGATTTGGACGTCGTTAAAGGAGCCATGTTAACCAACTGCGTGTGTTTCGTGCCGGGTTTATTAGGTAAGTATTTTTCAAAAAATGAATATTACATTGTATTACATTACATGTAATATTACTGAATATTACATGAATATTACAGTCCCTGAGAAGTAGGAAAATTTTACTTTCATATACACAGTATGTCGGAAAAATAACGGAACTTTTTAAATAAAAAGAAAAGAGTTATTTTGCCAAAATTAATTTCTTCTATTCAAAATACATCCTTTACACATCAATACACCGCTGGGCACGCTTATACAATGTTAACATAGATTTTTTTATGTCGTTTTGCGGAATCGCTTCAGACATCCTTGTCGCAGCTGCTTGGACTTGTGTAACAGTGTCACGAAACGTTTCTTTTATAGCTAATTAAGAGAGATCATATCTGCGAAAGTCACAATAGTGGACCATTATACGGAGGATCATATCCTTGAAAGCCACTATAGTGGCGCGTCGTGCCTAAGAGGTTAAAACTGTGCTCCTTTTGTAGCCTAGCGCGGACCATGGAGAAGTCCTGTTTTATGACTCGATCTCGCTGTGAAACTATGGTGATCTTATCAATTTTAGAAAAAAGAAGTGATCACATGGAGATTAGTCAGGTGAATTTGGAGGCTGTTGGAACAGACTTGTTTTTTCGCCACAAATTCACAAACAGCGACAGTTCACACGGTGCGTTGTCATGCAACAGAAACCAACTTCCCGGCGCTCGATATTCGGGCCTCACACGAACGATCCTCTTCCACAAATGTTCCATAACACCCAGATAATATTAGCCATTAACATTTTGTCTCTGTGGAACGAATTCCCGAAGTTTAATTCCTTTAGAATCGTAAAAGCAAATTAACATTGTCTTCTCTAGGGACTTCTGAAATCACAGTTTTTTTGATTCTGGGGAGCCTGGAAATTTCCACATAGCACTTTGGCGTTTTGAGGTTCATACTTGAAGCACCGAGTCCCATCACTAGTTACAATTGATTCCAGAGATGTACAGTTTCGTCTGGTTTTGATAAGATCCTCGCAATATTCAACGCGAGCAATTTGTTGCTTGCCAGTGATTTTGCGACGCGGTGACGAAAGGTTCTGTCGCATTAAACGCTATAAGTTTATTCATTGCTCGATTCCAATAATTGTTGTGTTTTGCAGGGAAGATATACTGTTTTCAGATAACATATTGTTTTAATAGATAGCGCTATTATTATACAGAGAAATTTCCAGCTGGGACGTCGATGAACAATATGGCGGCGTTGCGCGACAATATGGCGATGTTGCGCGATAAAATGGCGGCGTTGCTCGACAAAATGGGAGGTTAACATATTGTTTTAATAGATGGCACTAGTTTTCCTTAAATTTAAAAAGTTCCGTTACTTTTCGACATATTATAATTTTCCGACATGTGTGTAATTATGTCATATATGAAAAATTGTCTGTAAATGTTAATTGTCAATTAACTATATGTCAATTTTGTGAAGTAATTAAAAATATGAGGACAGATTATAGCCGTCAAGGTTTAACATGTCAGTTACTGAGAAATCAAGTAGGTTATTGATTAAATTCGAGCCTAAGTGGCTCATTAAACGGAAACGCGGATCGAACTGTATTATGACCAATTAACTTTGGAAGATAGCGTGAAAAGAGACTTTTCTTTAAGGACTTCTCTCTCGCAATAAAACCAAAGACGAATCCAAGAGATTCGTGTTGGTGCTGATCGATATTGCTGCATTAGCCGCGCAAGGAACAAGTTTCTTCCTTTGGCCATTATTGGACAGTTCCCGACCATCGCTATGGCTCATACCACCATCTTTGTTCCTGGTTTCCTGTGGCTGGTGGGAAAATTATGTTTCGATACAAAGTCCGATCGGTAAGTGTCGTGTGATTGATGGTAAATCAATAACACGTTGATCATTTTTCTCAGTAATAATAACTCCAGCATGTAACTATCAAATTTTTAATATCAATTCGGGGCAATTTCAGTATTACAACTTAATATTTAGATTTAGATTAAAATTTACGTTAAATTAAATTTGGAAGACGGTGACTATTATCAGAATTTAGGATGCAATTTATATTTCCGCTGTTATACTTTAAGGTTTAACAAAAATACGTAATCATATAATAAATGTTAACAGCGAGAATAAAATTCAGAAGAAACAAGCAAACAATTATTTAAGTAATTTATACTTTAATTGAAATCAATCCACAAAATGTCCGTGGTGCTTCACAAACAGAGAAGTCATAAAACTGCTATGGACATCTTGGATTTAAAACTTGAATAATTCTCGAAGATAGTTATAGAAGTACCTCAAGTTCGTTTTTAATAGACGTCTTCAACTGACTGGATCGTTCATTTTTTTCTGTCTTAACTGGTTTTGGTCATTAAATTACCAGTTACTTTTATACTCCAACTTTTGGAATGTTTTCTTAAATTTTGCGGATGTTTAAATGCGAAGAATATTTAAATACGTCGAATGACCTTGACATATATTTTAGAGAGTTGCATCATTTCGATGAAATAATATTTAATCTTTTTTAACTGAAGGTTAATAATAATGCTAAATGAAATTTGTATACTTTTTGCAGGATTTGTTAAGTCCCTAGGCAAAGTGAAAAAGGCACTGCGGCTAACACGATACTTCACTTACATGTTCATGTCGGTATGGAAAATCTTGGCGTTCTTTATCAGCAGTTTATTGATACTGCACATGAGAGGAGAAAATGTCGGACATTTATTCTCGATGTTAAGTAACGCTTTTGGTAGCCATAAATACGAAGTATGGCAAGAGGTTTCCACCAGAGTCACCGATATTGCAGATTTGGTTGATAATGGCGTGAGAATATCGAGAGATGCAGATGTGAACACGCCTATTTATGTTCTACTGTTGCAGATATTCGGTGCTTATTTTGCGTATGTTTTTGGTAAGTATTTTTGGTAATTATATTCCGTGGATGCATGGACTTTATGATAGATCGAGAGCTACATGCAGTGACGATATCTTAAATAAATTCTTATAATTAGTACTTCTTATGAAGTTACTTCTAATAAAGCCGAAGGTCGTATTAGTTGAAATTAATTTCAAATTATTAGTTTAAGTAAACTTGAAATTAATATTTTTGAAGAAACTACTTAGTACTTTGAATGAACTTGATAGATCACGTTATTAGTTTAACGAAAGATGCTTAAACCCATCACTATCTCAAACAAATGAGCTACATCATTAGCTCAAAGAAACTTGCTAAATCATTACTTCAAGCAAACTTAGTAAAGCACATCACTCCCTCAATTAAATTTAATGAACCACATCAGTACTTCAAGCAAAGTTAGCAAAGTACATTACACCTTCAATCAAATTTAATGAAGCACATTAGTACTTCAAACAACTCTAAAAAACTGCGCCCTCACTTCAAGCAAACTTGCTAAACTACGTCACTCCCTCATTCAAACTTAATGAACTACATCACTGCTTCAAAGGAACTTGATACACCATATCATTACCTCTAACAAAATTACTAAATCACATCACGACATCAATCAAATTTAATGAGGCACATCAGTACTTCCAGCAATTCTAATGAATCATGTCCTCACTTCAAGTAAACTTGATAAACCACATCATTAACTTAAACAAACCTAATGAACTACATCACTGATTGAAAAAAACTTGATGAACCACATCAATATCTCAAGCAAACCTAATGAACCACATCACTACTTTAAATGAATTTGTTAAACCACATCACTGCTTCAAATGAACTTGCTAAGTCACATTACTAGTTTATGTAAACTCAATGAATCACATTACTACTTCAAAGAAACTTACTGAACCACGTTACTATTTCAAGAAAACGTACTTAATTACATCACTACTTTGAAGAAACTTGATAAATCACATCACTGCTTCAAATGAACTTGCTAATCCATATCACTGCTTTACAGAAACTCGATAAACCACATCACTAGTTCAAGCAAACTTACTAAACCACATTACTACTTTAATAAAACTTGCTGAACCACATTACTATTTTCAGCAAACTTACTTAAATACATCACTACTTTAAAGAAACTTGATAAACCACATCACTGCTTCAAATGAACGTGCTAATCCACATCACTACTTTAAAGACACTTGATAAACCACATCACTAGTTCAAGCAAACTTACTAAACCACATTACTACTTTAAAGAAACTTGCTCAACCACATTAGTACTTCAAGCAAACTTACTTAAATACATCACTACTTTAAAGAAGCTTGATAAACCACATCACTGCTTCAAAAGAATTTGCTAAACTACATTACGCCTTCAATTAAACTTAATGAACCACAAAAGTAGTTCATACAACCCTAATAAATTTTGTCTCCACTTCAAGCAAACTTGCTAAACATCGCTCTCTGGAATAAACTTAATAAACCACATTAGTACTTCAAACAACCCTAATGAACCACGTCCCCACTTGAAGTAAACTCACTAAACACGTCACTACTGCAAGCAAACTTACTAAACCATGTCTCTACTGCAAACAAAACTAAATAGCCACATCGCTCCCTCACACAAAGTTAAACCCATCACTCCCTCAAACAAACCTAAACCCCTCAAACGAACCTAGACCACATTAGTACTTCAAATAACCCTAATAAACCACGTCCCCACTTAAACTAAACTCACTAAACACGTCACTACTGCAAGCAAACTTACTAAACCATGTCTCTACTGCAAACAAAACTAAATAGCCACATCGCTCCCTCACACAAAGTTAAACCCATCACTCCCTCAAACAAACCTAAACCCCTCAAACGAACCTAGACCACATTAGTACTTCAAATAACCCTAATAAACCACGTCCCCACTTAAACTAAACTCACTAAACACGTCACTACTGCAAGCAAACTTACTAAACCATGTCTCTACTGCAAACAAAACTAAATAACCACATTACTCCCTCACACAAAGTTAAACCCATCACTCCCTCAAACAAACCTAAACCCCTCAAACGAGCCTAGACCACATTAGTACTTCAAATAACCCTAATAAACCACGTCCCCACTTGAACTAAACTCACTAAACACGTCACTACTGCAAACAAACTTACTAAACCATGTCTCTACTTCAAACAAACCTAAATACCCACAGCACTACCTTAAACACACTTAAACCCATCACTACCTCAAACATACTTAAACCCATCACTCCCTCAAACAAACCTACACTCTCTAGACGAACCTAAACCCTATCACTTCCTCAGACAAACAGAAACCCCATCACTCCCTCAAACGAACTACAAACTATTATTTTTGACAAGTTCATGTCCCCACCATCAAATAACAGACTAACAGATGCCGTTTCCTTTTAACAAAAGATTTTTCAACAAAGTCCTCCCAGACCTTGAATCAAACTACAAGGATTCTAAATGCAAGCTGAACATAAATCATGTTTTCCTTATTTCAGGTAAATTCGCATGCAAAATTCTGATACAGGGATTTAGTTACGCCTTTCCCGTAAATCTGACAATTCCGGTATCGATCTCTTTGTTGATCGCTGCTTGCGGCTTGCGGAACAGCGACCCTTGCATATTCCACGACACAATCCCGGATTATTTGTTCTATGAATCGCCACCGTTTCTCAACGATTTCGTTACGAAGCAATATGCCTGGGTATGGTTGCTCTGGCTGTTGTCGCAAACGTGGATCACGTTGCATGTGTGGACACCTAAATGCGAACGTCTTGCCGCCACGGAGAAGCTTTTTGTTGTACCGATGTACAATTCCTTGTTGATCGATCAGTCGATGGGGCTGAACCGGAAACGGGATGATCAACCTGAGGTGAAAGTCGAGGTAAGGAATCACTAGGAAATAATTATTAACATTTTTTTGAAAGTACAGATATAACATTATTAGTAAAGTAAACGTTCACTCGTATAAGGTTGCCATATTGAAAGTAAAAGTTACAAAAATAACTATGTCATAAATGTCCCAACCTAAAAACTCCTTTACACAGTCTTGCACGCAAAATTAATGATATAACGTTACATAAATGAACAAAAAGTGTTTTGAATCGAGAAAGATTTTAGACCCCGCATAAAACTTATTTAGATAAAACATCTGAATTCGAAGAGGGTCATTTGCCAGTAAACGTTCACAAAAGGCACTGCGATTTATGAATGCATAATTTGTCGGTTTTATAATATTCCGTTTGATGTTTCATCAAAATGAACATGATACGGAAACATAAAGCTTATTTTTGTTGAGCAGGATCTGGCGGAGATAGAAAAAGAAAAAGGGGACGGGGATTACGAGACCATATACGAACAGACCGACGGATCAACTACACCACCGTCGGCTGTAAAAAGCAGCGATCACGTAACGAGAATATACGCTTGTGCAACGATGTGGCATGAGAACAAAGAAGAAATGATGGAATTCTTGAAGAGTATCCTACGCCTGGACGAGGACCAGTGTGCCCGACGCGTTGCCCAAAAATATTTGAAAGTTGTCGATCCGGATTACTATGAATTCGAAAGTAAGACCACCCACTTTCTGCATGGAAATTTCATTGCAATTTCTGAGATTGAAAAATTTATGAGGTATAAGTTTAGATAGGACTAGCTTGGGTTATTTTTAAATTTCTGGATTTCGTTGCAATTTTGAACGGAGATTGAAACTTGTAAGTTAAAGCAAAGGGAAATAATTTTTTTCCACAGATATGATGTATATACTTTAACTTTGATAATTTACTTTTTTAGAAAATTCACAAAATATGTCATTTCCAAATGTTTCTTATATATATTAGTGCAAAGAATTGTTCAATTGAAACGGTGGCGAGTGAGCCACTATGGCGCTACGATAACATTCGCGAAACTATAGTGGACCATCGTATAAAAAGATGGTATCCGCCACTTTAGTAGCGCGTCGTACGTAAGAGGTTAAAATGGTACCCTTTTTATAGCCTAGCGCGGACCATGGAGAGATCCCATTTTATAACCACGCTACTTGACAAATTCCTTACCGCGTTGCATCGAACTTCCTACTTAATTATATTAAAAAACAAGACATTATTTTAATTCCAACATTATACAGTAATAATAAAAAATATAATCTTGTGTTTTCAGCTCACATCTTTTTCGATGACGCGTTCGAGTTATCGGATCACGATGAAAACGAGTCTCAGGTGAACCGGTTCGTGAAATTGTTAGTGGGCACATTGGATGAGGCTGCATCAGACGTTCACCAAACGCGAATGCATGTTAGAGCACCGAAGAAATATCCGACACCTTATGGTGGCAGATTGGTGTGGACTCTTCCAGGGAAAACGAAGATGATTGCTCATTTGAAGGATAAGAGTAAAATTCGTCACAGGAAGCGATGGAGTCAGGTATAGTTACAGAAATGTAATGTAGTATTTATTTGGATGGAAAGTAATGGAGAACAGGAACTTTCTAGCACTTAATGTAAAATAGAACTTCATTTCATTCAATTTCTTATTAAAAAATTGTAAAATTATTGTAATTAAAAAATTGTAAAATAGTAAAATATAAAGTTATAAAATTTTATGATTAAGTAAATAATGAAGAATACAAAATTTGATTTTTCTTTTCCAGGTCATGTACATGTACTACTTACTGGGACATCGATTAATGGAGTTACCAATTAGCGTAGATCGTAAAGAAGTAATCGCGGAAAATACTTATTTATTGACACTCGACGGAGACATTGATTTCCAACCTGCCGCTGTGAAACTGCTCGTAGATTTGATGAAGAAGAACAAGAACCTTGGTGCAGCTTGTGGTCGAATTCATCCAGTTGGTTCAGGTTAGTTAAATTCATTATCATGGAGATAACTATAGTCTCTCGATAATTCCCTGCTTGTGAAGGTTTTATTCAAATTATTCATAGAAAGTATTCAAACATGTGTGTGCAAAGTGTTTTGTGTTTAAAGTAGACGATGTACGTTTATTCAACTTGCATTTGAAAGAAATTAACTGTGAAGTGAACATATGTATCATCAAGGCTTGATAATTTCTCGATTTTTGGGAATTAAGGAAATTCAGAATTTGCTAGAATGGTTTGATTTAGGAACTTGAATTTGTATGAAATTAATTTTGAAGAAAGTACGTGTGTTCGATGCTCGATAATTTCTCGATTTTTGGGAATTTAGAAGTTTCAGAACTTAGAATATTTTGAAACATGACGACTTAGAGATTTAATGATAACTTAGAAATATGGCAGTGAAAATACGTCCAAAAACTATGATATTAAAATTTGTTATTTTGGGAAATTTGATTTATTCTTCTAGAGCCCCGAACGCAGGGAATTATGGAGCGTCTACCGATAAATTTGTAAACACAGTTTAAAAATTATTAATATTATTTGAAAGTATTATTATTGACAATACTATTTAGTTGATTTTTACAATTTTAATTTGACCTTTACAATTTTAACTTGATCTTTCGAATTTTTACTTGATCGTCACAACTTTAATTTGATTTTTACAATTTCAATTTAATCTTAACAATTTTAATTTGATCTTTACAATTTTTACCTAATATTTACAATTTTGACTTGATCTTTCCAATTTTTACTTAATCTTCACAACTTTAATTTAATTTTTACAATTTCAATTTGATCTTAACAATTTTAATTTAATCTTAACAATTTTAACTTTCATCTAATTTGATCTTTAACTTAATGTTTGTTGGTCTGATACCAGGTCCAATGGTGTGGTACCAAATGTTCGAATACGCTATCGGCCATTGGCTGCAAAAAGCAACCGAGCATATGATCGGCTGTGTGCTTTGTAGTCCCGGTTGTTTCTCGTTATTCAGAGGTAAGGCTTTAATGGACGACAACGTGATGAAGAAATACACAACGAGATCGGACGAAGCCAGACACTACGTTCAATACGATCAAGGGGAAGATCGATGGCTTTGTACTCTTCTTCTGCAACGGGGTTACAGGGTAAGTACTATGAAAATCCTATTGACACATCTTTAGGCAGAAATATCTTCTCTGTTTTCATTCTAATATTTGTTAAATGATTTAATACTATTTTAATGAAATTTAAAATGAACCTTAAATTGCATGAAATTTAAAATGAATCTTAAACTACATACAACTTAAAATGAATCTTATATTTTGAGGTTGCATTGCAATAATCAAAATTCAACATCGATAAACCTAACAGACAAAGTAATTTTAGTTTCAAAAATATATAGTAAATATTATATTCGTAATTTGACATTGTTATAGAATAATTGAAACATGTCAACAATACAAAATGAAAATAATTATTTTTCTCGTTAATCATTGAATCTATTGAATGAATACATTGAATCTTTTTTTTAAGAACTCATTCTTAAAATCTTCAGTAAATTTCACTTTATTTATTACTTAATATTACTTTCACATGTCAACAATTTTTAAATTCGTAATTTGAAATTGTTTCAAAATTTAATATAAATAGATTCAAAATTTAAAATTGCTGTCCATCTGAATGGCTTGGCTGTTTTTTGAATGCAATTACATTTTAGTTAGGTGCTTCCAAAATTTGTATTTAATCGAATTTATGTGATGAACGACATCGAACCAAAAATGTGTGAATGATCTATAATGTGTGCTTGATTATTATAGGAATTTGAGGTATACGGTATAAGTAAACAGCGATTAATCATTGTGGTTTATTCAATGATGATACAGGTCGAATATTCAGCAGCCAGCGATGCTTACACACACGCACCGGAGGGCTTCAATGAATTTTACAATCAACGTCGTCGATGGGTTCCCTCTACCATTGCTAACATAATGGACCTCCTGATGGACGCGAAACGAACGATCAAAATCAACGACAATATATCTCTTCCATACATTTCCTATCAAATTTTGCTTATGGGTTAGTTTTCTATGTATTCACACGTTCATTTTAATTAATTTATGAATCTAGTTTTATTAATTATTTATGAATCTAGTTTTATACACTTTTGTGGTTCATGAAGGGATTTAGAAAAGTAAACAATTGGTGTGCAAAGGCGTATGAAAAGAAATAAGGTGTATAAGAAATAATAAATGACAGGTGTATAAAAATGTGAATAGTATAGCACGAAATTATTTTTTAAGTAACTATTAAATTATTGCTTACATTGTTTATAAAATTTAAAATAGTATATAAATTTTTTAAATACTTGCTATATAACAGGTTGTACAGAAAATAGTTGAAATAGCTTACACACAAAATATATAGAATTATTTGAATATCTAATAAAAATTATTTTTTACACTTGTATATAGAAGTATTGATCAACCATACTTTTAGCTAATTATACTAATCTATGAAATTATTTTTTGAAATAGTGTATGAAATTATTCTTAAAATAGTATACATATGCCAACTAATAAAAAGTAAAATGTAACTTCTACAAATAACTAAATTAAACATACATTTATGCAATCAACAATTTACATAAATGTAAAAAATAATTTTTAAGCATCCCCCATTTTCTCTTTCAGGTGGAACAATTTTAGGACCAGGCACGATCTTCCTTATGTTGGTCGGTGCTTTCGTGGCGGCTTTCAAAATCGACAACTGGACAAGTTTCTATTATAACATTATCCCCATCCTGTTGTTTATGATCGTATGTTTTACGTGTAAGGCAAACATACAAGTAAGTGAACCAACGTAAAAATTAATGTTTATTAATGTTTCAAGCTTTAATCGTTTATGAACGTTAGGATGGCTGAAAATTCTTTTTTCGCTCTCGTCTATTAAAAATTGAGTATATGGTGTGAAAAATCTTGTGAAAGTTCGAGTTGAAAAATTAAAGTTTAAGAAGTCAAAGCAATTTAGAAGTTTACAAAACAAAATTAAAAATATTTGTTGGTTTTCAATAATTTCTGACAATATCTTTTGTTGAAAATCTTTAGTGACATTCTTATACCTTTCGCTTTAAATCTTTTATGACTTTCTATAATTAGCAAGTTATATCTATAATTGTTACATACTTACATAATTATTACGTCATAAAATTGAATAATAATATTATTAATCTCACACCAGAATATTTAACCATTTCCAACCTTAAAAAATCATTTCGAAGAGTTTCAATAAGAGACTTCAAAGAGAATCAATAGCTTCCAATAATTTAATAAAATATTGAAATGTGAAAGACGACACCGTATTTTCGATTCATAAAATACCACTGTACAATAATCTAGAGTAAAATGTACATATATGCATTACATAACCGAACAATGAAGAGTTATCTTCCCCGTTCACATTGAGTACATGTGCCTTCCTCTTAAATAATTACATAATTATTACCGTGTAGATGTGACACGAGATACATATAAAGCTAAGTTCAAGCCCACTATTCTTTGTCGAGCGAATTGAATTTGTATTATTGATCACTCGTGATACTGATCGACGTCTTTTTTCGAAGAGCACATTGCAAAACAATCTGCAACATCAAGGTTAACGGTTGCGGTGAATTTCGCGTGCAGAATGGAGAACCAAACCCGTGTCTAAACGCGTTAAAACGTTCATGAAAATTAGTCGCAAATCAAAAATAAAATAAAATTTGTCTCACAATAAATATCGCATTTACTTTCTTGCAAACTTTTCAATATTACAGTCAATTCTTATAACTTTCATTTTAAGTCAGTATCATGTGGTAATTCGAACTGTTCAAAATTGATGACTCTTTCGTTACAAGGTTATTAAGATCTTCTGTGGACAATGGATATTGTTTGGCGGCAAGTAATATCAAACCTTTGAACGATCATCGAATAAGTTCAGTTTTAAACTCTGTTCAAACCTTGCTTAGTTCTCAAGTATGTAAATATGGTTAAATCAGTCGATTGACATTGATGTGATACTAATATTTAATTTTGTGCAATTTTATCTGTAATCACTTAAATTGTAGTTGAAAGTCGATACGATAAAAAATCAGTATAAATTGCTTTGATCTTTTAAATTTAATTTTTATGACATACACTAATCTTTCAGAGTACGAAAAGAATTTTTTCTCCGGCCACGCCCATGAATCCAGTACGAAATCACTTAAATTGTAGATAAAAGTCGATACGATGAAAAACCAATATAAATTGCTTTGATCTCTTAAATTTAAACTTTGGATGTTTTTACATAATATACTAAATATTTAGAGTGAGAGGGAAAAAGAATTCTCTTGAACCACCCTAATCTACTTATGTCCTTGTCTTTCAGCTTTTGTGTGCGCAAATATTATCGACAGGATACGCATTGATAATGATGGCCGTGATAGTAGGTACGGCCCTGCAACTTGGAGAGGATGGCATCGGGTCACCTTCGGCCATATTCTTGATATCACTGTCTAGCTCGTTCTTTATAGCCGCCTGTTTGCATCCGCAAGAGTTTTGGTGTATCGTGCCAGGCATCATTTACCTTCTCTCGATTCCTTCCATGTATCTCCTTCTCATCCTGTACTCCATTATCAACTTGAATGTCGTCTCCTGGGGAACCCGCGAAGTCCAAGTGAAAAAGACTAAAAAGGTTCGTCCAAATGCATTTTATGTTTCTGCTTTGCTTAGGAAACACCGCAGATTTAACACTGGAACACTTGAGAAGTTAATTGTTGGTTTTGTATTGGTTACAATAATGTTTTTTAATTTTGTTAATACTTTGTTGGGGTTTGAAATTTTGGCAATTTAAAATTTTGAGAGTTGTGGGAGTTTTGGATATTTTAGGAACTTTTGAGAATTTTAGAATTGTGGGATGTGAAGGTTTGAGAATTTGGCAATTTTGGAATTTTTGTGTTCTGAGACATTTGGGATTTTTGAAAATTTAGGATGTGAACTTTTGGAAATTCTTGTGATTTTTAAATAAGAGAATGTGGAAGGTTGGAAATTTAGGAATTTTTAGAATTCTAGAATTTAAAGATGTGAGGGTTTCAAAATAGAAAATATTTGAAAAGTATTTATAAATGAACTCAAAAAGTTTATAACTATTATATATCAAAATTCCGATAATGTCCTTAAAATTTCAACATTATTGTCACTGAACGAATGCGAAACTAAACTGGAGGATGGTGTTGGATCTTAAAATGGCGCCATTTAGGAACCGTTTTATATCACTCTGCACGCAAAATGGAGTGTTGCTTTATTGTCTGCAAATGTATGTTTCAGTCTCTTCATGTGAAAAGTTAAGGCGATATACGGCGATGGTTAGCTTAACTATCATCACTAATCATAATTAACTGTATATACTTAATGTTAATTAAGCAACTAATTAATTGACTTAATGCTTAATTGTTTAAAATTGATTGGTTACTAACAATAACATTGGTATCAGGTTTTCTTTGCAGCAGTGATCAGCACCTTCTACGCAATGGTTATGGTCGCAGTAATAGTTGGGATTGCAATAAGTATTTCTGAAGATGGCGGTTTCTCGCCATCAGCGATGTTTCTTGTGTTAATGATAGGTCAAGTGGTGATAGCTGCACTATTGCACCCGGAAGAAATACACTGCCTGATATACTTCGCTATTTATTTTATATCCGTTCCTTCGAACTACGTGCTGCTTATTATTTACGCGGTCTGTAACCTCAATGACATTACGTGGGGCACTAGGGAGGTCGCTACTAAAAAAACTGCCGTGGTAACTATTTACATCTCATTATTAACTTGATTAATTCATTCATCTTTTGTTGTGACTAATTTTGCGTTTTGAAACAATTTTGGATTTAGACTTGTTTTTAGGGTAACTGTGATGTGTGATGGTGTTCGTGGTAATTTGTTTAATAGTCTCTTTTTTGGATTTCTGCAAACTGTTGTTTTTGGATTTGTATAGTTTTAATGTTATATTAGTATTGCGGAATTTTAAAATAGTTTCTAGAATTTTAATGATTAGAGATTTGGAACTTTGAAAATATGAAGAGTTTGAAGTTTCAAGGTTCTAAAGATCCATAATGCAAAATTTCCAAAATTCCGAAACTCCTAATTTTCAAAATTCCAAAATTCCAAAATTTCAAAATTTCAAAATTTCAAAATTTCAAAATTCCAAAACTCTAAATTTTCAAATTCCACAAATTACCCAAATTTCCTAAAATCCTCAATTTCTCCAAATTCCCATGATTCTTTAAAATCCTCAAATTCTCCAAACTCCCCAAATTTCCAAAGTTACGAAACTCCAAATCTCCAAATTCCCCAAGTTCCCCAAGTTGCCCAAATTCCCAAATTCCCAAATTTCCAAATTTCCAAATTTTCAAATTTCCAAATTTCCAAATTTCCAAATTTCCAAATTCTCAAATTCTCAAATTCTCAAATTCTCAAATTCACCAAACTTTCAAACTCTGAAATTTCTCAAATTTCCAAAATCCTCTAAAATCCCCAATTTCCCCAAATTTCCTAAAATCTCCAATTTCTCCAAATTCCCATGATTCTTTAAAATCCTCAAATTCTCTAAACTCCCCAAATTTCCACAGTAACAAAGTTCCAAATCTCCAAAACTCCAAACCTCCAAAATTCCAAAACTCCAAATTTCCAAAATTCGAAAATTTCAAAATTCGAAACTTCATAGTGTTAATATTAAAAAGTCTAAAACTAGAAAGTTGTAATAACTCCAAAATCCTAAGTTCCAAATTTTCAAAATTTCCAAGCTATAAACCTTCGAAATTCAGGAACATAAAAATTGAAGAATTCTAATCTCTCATATTGTAAGTTTGAAAATCACCATCTTAAATCCAAAATAACTAAATTTCACCTGATTGTAAATATCGACACCAAATATTGTTTCAAAGTGCAAAATTGTCTATTTTCAATATTAGACTTTGTAAAACAACAGCTTCAATCAATAACTCCTTAACTAATGCATCTATAAAATATTTAACTCTTCTAAAAAAATGTTTGTTTCTTCTAAAATTATAACTGTAACTATAAACTCGTTCTTATTCTATTTAACAATTTAATTTCGTATTCATTAATTATAAATTATTACAAAATACTGTTTACTTTCCTCATCAAAGAAAATACACAAATAATTTTAGATCTTGAAAGCATTGCAATCACACTAAACATCTTTCCAATAAATAATTTCCACTTTCCACTTGTATACTTATTTTCTAAATTTGTATATATTTAACACTAGAACTACCGATATTAAGTACACGTTTATCGAAGAATGAAAAATAAAATGAAAAGGGAAATAAATAAACTAAAGCATCAAGTAAAATATAAAACTAGTTTTTACCTCAACACAATATGACAGACATTTAAAATTTTGTAAATATAAAATGAGAAATTTGAAACCAGTCATTTTGACTGATTGGTAGTTCTAGTGTTAAAAAAAATGTCTTCAATTGTACATAAATTGTATTTAAAAAATAATTGCATTTGAAATACAATCCTTTGTTAAATATCTTTTATTTATTACGAAACCAACAGGAACTTGAACAAGAAAAGAAGGAAGCCGAGGAGGCGAAACGGAAAGCGAAACAAAAGTCTTTGTTAGGTTTCCTACAAAATGGCGTAGGGTCAAACGACGATGAAGAAGGATCGATAGAAATCTCTTTGGCAGGATTGTTCAAATGCATGTTCTGTACGCATGGTCAGACATCCAATGAGAAACAACAATTGGTCGCCATTGCTGAGTCACTGGAACAAGTTGGCAAACGGTTGGAAGCCATTGAAAGGTAATGCGATTTAATACTGCTTTAATGGTACTGTAATTAGTGTAATTGATTAAAAGTTTCTTTGGTTTACTTATAAGTTATTATGCATTTTATTAAATCTTGTTAGATAGCTTACAAAATCTATTTTATAATTTTGTTTTTCTTTACAGTTTATTAAGTTTGTTGTATTGTTTATTACATTTTTTATACGGCTTGTTTACTGTACATTTTGTAATATTTATTATGCAATTTATTAAATCTTATTAGATGGCTTACAAAATTTATTTTAGAGTTTCGTTTTTCTGTACAATTCATTAAATTTTTATACAGCTGTCTACTGTATATTTAAAATTTATTATGCAGCTTACCTTTATTATACAGTTTATTAAATTTTACTATATATTCAAATTTATTTTGCAGTTCATTACAATTTTTTATACAGTTTATTAAATTTACAGTACACTTTATTAAATTCATTTTACAATTGACTAAATTTATTATACAATCTATCAAATTTACTATACAGTCCTTTAAATTTGTTATACATTTCATTAAATCAATTATATAATTTTTTTAATTTAGTACATAATTTATAAAATTTGTCATTCAGTCATACAATTCATTGAATTTTTTTTTAGTTCATTTAACTTTTTTATATAGTTTGTTAAATTTATTGTGCACTTTATTAATTACATTATACAGTTCACTAAATTTACTATACAAATCATCAAATTTACTATACAGTTCTTTAACTTTGCTTAAATTATATCATTTTTTTAATTTACTATATAATTTATTAAATTTGTAATTCAGTTATACAATTCATTGAATTTATTTCCAATTTATTAAATTCATTGTACAACTTATTAAAGTTATATACTTTTCTAAATTTATTACACAATTAAATTTGTTATACAATTTATAAATTTACTGTACACTTTATTAAACATATTTTGTACTTCATTTTCACTATATAATTTATTAAACCTTCTTTTCAGTTTATTAAATTTATCATACAGTTTACTACAACCATTACATAAATTTGTTTAATTTATCACACAAGTTTATTATCATATTAAAAATTGTATTACTATCATTTTGTTTAATGCAAATGTTAATTTATAATTGTTTAGTTTATCAGAGAAGTTTATCATCATATTAAAAATTGTATTACTATCATTTTGTTTAATGTAAATGTTAACTTATAATTGTTTAGTTTGTCACAAAAGTTTGTCAATTACTAAATTTGTATTAGCTTCCATTTGTATTATTTGAAGGTCCCTCACATAATAAGTTCGTTTATGTTCGTTTATTTAGGACTGTGGATCCTCATGGACACTCAGGACGAAGGCGTGCATCCTCCGTGGGTTCTCGAACCGCCAATCACTTGGGTGACATCGGGGAGGATCCTGCAGAGGATCAGGATGGCAATAGTGATGCAGAGACAGTGACTAGTCAAAATACGGAAGGCAATCGAGAGGGTAGTAATTTCCTTAGCAGACCTTATTGGTTGAATGACGATGGACTGAAAAAGGGTGAGATCGATGTACTGTCCCTTCAGGAAGAACAATTCTGGAAGGACCTTTTGGAGAAATATTTGTATCCTATTGATGAGGACAAAGCTGAAAAGGTAATGACTCTTATGTTTACTATAATTTCTTCTAGCAATTGAATTTAGATGCTTTTAACACTAGAACAAAATATTGACATTAAATTATCAAAGTTCAAGAAAGCCTTAAGTCTCTTAAAGTTCAAGAAACTGAAAGATAATTAAACAGATTTTGGTAAATAAATTAGCATAGTGGGTAAATGTTCAATGTGTTGATTAAAATTAGTGTTATTATATGACCAACTGTTTTGAGAAGTTTTGATGATAAAAAAGGGAGCTTTTGATGAACCTTAATCAGTAAATATGCAATATCTTACATATATATGTAAATATCTTAATAATTGGAATATTTAAATTAGTTTTATTATTATTGAGAATAGAAAGAAATAATTAACTGATTATATAGTTTAAGAAGGTCAATGACTATCTTATATTTATTTATATGTGTAATAAATAAATTATGAAATTTATTTTATAAATTTGTCTCAAGGTCATGTATCTCAAGGACAGATGGCATAAGGTTGTTTTAATATTTATTAAGTTCTAAATATAAAAAATTGTTTAAATAATTTCTTCCAAATTTTTAATAGCATTAATTCAGTTCCTCAGAAATAATCTTAACAACTTCTACTATTTAAAATAATAATTTTGTTCTAGTGTTATCTTCAAAAACTTGCAACAGTAGTAACTGATTGTTAATTAGATAATTATTTATATTACTCTAATTTAGAGTAATTTATTTAGTAACTTATTTAGTAATTTATGGAGTAACTAGTTATTATATGTATATGTCTGCAGAAAAAGCATTTTTAGACTTTCTTTTTAATATATTGCATTTTTTCAATAGAAAATTTAATTTGGTTGTAACTAAAAGCTATATAATTTAAAATGAAGAAATCACTTATTAAAATTAATCAAGAATTTTGATTCTAAAATAGGAAACAGTTAATTGACAATTTAATATAAATTAAGTATTAAAAAATAATTTTTCAATTACAATTGCAAAAAGAATTTACAATACTTTGCTAGTTCAAATACTAGCTGATATTTTTCTAATTTAATTAGTATTACTATTTTTCAATTTATCTAACTGATACTGTTCTCTAATTTAATTAATACTCTTTTCTAATTTAGTTAGTTCATACTATTTTTCAATTCAAGTAGTACTTTTTAATTGATAACAAAAAGAAATTATATTTAAGTAAATGGTTTATTACCAAACTAAGAAATTTTTTCTTGTCAAAGTTTTAATTTTGGTTAATTAATAATTTCATAAAAATGATATTTTATTTACTTTTTATGAACTTTTAAAATTTATCTGCAAAATTGAAACCAAAATATATAAGTATAAATCTAAATGTTGCTGAAATTATTACAACAATTTTAAGAAATAACGTGTTTTTAAAAATATGACACAAAATTAATATCAACGAATATAGACACTTTTACAAAAAATACAAGAATAGTTACAAGAACAACCAATGAGAACAGGGTGAAAATAAGTAGTATGTCCACTTGATGATACTCCCAGCAAAAAATTTTATTTTAAAAAGAAATAAGTTGAAATTGAAAAATATTTTGTCATATTTGCTTAAGAGAATTGAATTTAATAATCATTATTAATAATCTTTCAAAATGTATAAATTAGTGTCTTCTATGATATTACTTGTATATTCATCATACTTTAATAATTAGTATGTTATTATTAACAATTTCATGAAAAATGATAAACGATTTTCCTTAAATATTAAATTAACAAAAAACTTCTGTCAAATATTTTGATGACCAAATACATTTTCTTCCTTCAAAACTTATAAATCAGTGCTCCCTATGATATTACTTGTATATTCATCATACTTTAATAATTAGTATATTATTATTAACAATTTCATAAAAAATGATAAACGATTTTCCTCAAATATTAAATTAACAAAAAACTTCTGTCAAATATTTTGAGGACCAAATACATTTTCCTCAAAAGCATTACTTAATCAATTTGCATATAGAATCATCTGTTTATAGCACAATCTCTAGAAGTCATATATTTGTATTATATAACTCCACCTCAGTTATTGACCTAACCTTATCCCCTAATAAAAAGCTCCAGAACGTATCCATAATATTTACGACAGCTGTGGTGCCATCAAGTGGACGAATGCTAATATTGCACTTCCCAAAACCCGGAAGAGACCTTCTCAGTCTATATTCGTCGATATACCACAAACCCCTAATCAAATAATTGAATAACGGATGAATGCTGCTTGCATCAGGCCCGAATCGCCAAAGATCTAAAGGACCTCCGTGACCAGAGCGTGTTCGCGTTTTTTATGATGAATGCCCTCTTCGTCCTGATCGTGTTCCTCCTGCAATTAAACAAAGATTTGTTGCACGTGAAGTGGCCTTTCGGTATCAAGACGAACATCACCTATGACGAAAGCTCGCAGGAGGTAAAGACCGCTCCGTCCACGAGTTATCCTGCTTCTTCATCCAAAACTTTCCATCAGGATCTGTCGAGCCATTTTCTTGCCTTCTAATGATTTCTGTAAAATTAAATTCATTAAAACAATTGTTTTGCAGTTTGAATTTTTGAAATAAGAGAAATATTCTCGGCGAGGATCCTCCAAGGAGCCGAAGGATCAGACTGGACGGAGCGTATTTTTTTTACATATTTGCTAATTTTTGTTTTTCACGACAGGCTCGTATAGCCGCCGACCTGATCGAGCTAAGGAACAAGAGCGTGTTCGCGTTTTTTATGTTCAATGCGTTGTTCGTTCTGATCGTATTCTTGCTACAGCTGAACAAAGATCAGCTACATGTTATTTGGCCGCTTGGCGTCAAGACGAATGTCACCTTCATCGAAGAGACCTCGGAGGTACCTGGTTTTTCCAAAAAAAGGAAAATGAAAAACAGAGATGCTGTCTCACTGGATGCCTCGGGAGACTAACACCTCCGTGTGCTCCGTTGTTCACGCCATTTTGTTGTTTCTGTGGATCTTGTTTCATTTTTCGATATAGATTGATTCGTTTAATTCCTTTCGTGCTTTATTTCTGTGGAAATACGAGCGATTTTTTCAGATGTTCGACGTTTATTTGTTTTGTGTGTGGTTGTTTAGAGTAGATAAGATTTTTTGAAAAAAGTGTGATCGTGAGTGTTTAACCCTTAGAGTAGACGCGAGCTTTGGATGCTGAAATGACTAACGTAGAATTTAGGGATTGTTAGAAAAATTAATAGTACTTTTTAGAAAGCAGAGAGCAGACAAGCAACAATTGTGTAATAGTTGATGTGAAAATTAGTTGAAGTTTTTGAGCTTCTGCTGATATTCAACATGAATGGTACTAAATCAGAAATTTTCAAATTAAGAGTTTCTTAATTTTTTAATTTTTCAATTTTAATTTTCAATTTAAAAATTTTTTAATTTTTAAATTCTTAGATAATAAAACTCTTAACTTCCCAAATCTCCAAATTTGAAGATAAATTTTTAAATTCATAACTAAGATTTTTTTAAATTCAAAATCACAGATTTCAGAATGTTCAAATTTCCCTATTATCAAATTTCCAAATTTACTATTCCTAATTTTTAAATTCCTTAATCTTAAACTTTTTATACTTTCTTCATAAATTGTCAAATCTTCAAGTTTCCAATTTTCAATTTTCAAATTTTAATTAGATATTCAAAACTCCAAATTTCGGATTTCCCAAATTTCTCAAATTTTTCAAATATCTCAAATTTCCTAAATTTCTTAAATTTCTAAATTCTTAAATTTTTGTATTGACAAAATTACAAACTTTTAAATTTTTTAAATTCAGATTAACCAAATTCACAATTTTCGAAATTCTGAAGTTTTAAAACTAAATTTTTGAATTATCAAGTTTCCTAAACTTTCTAAATTTTTTAGAAATTTCTTAAGTTTTATAAATTTTTCGAATTCCCTAGAATTCCTAGAAATCTTCTAAATTTCTCAAATTTCCTAAATCTTCTAAACTTTTTAAATTTTTTAAATTTCTTAAATTCCCTAGGTTTCCTAGAAATATTCTAAATTTCTTAAGAATATTCTAAATTCCCTAGATCTTTAAGATCTTAAAGGTTCTAAAATTCTTAAATTTCCTAAATTTCCTAAATTTTCTGTATTTTCTGAATTTTCTGAATTTTCTAAATTTTCTAAATTTTCTAAATTTTCTAAATTTTCTACATTTCCGAAATTTTCTAAATTTTCTGAATTTTCTGAATTTTCTAAAACTCCTAAAATTTCTAAATTTTCAAACTTCCGCAAAATCCCCAGATTCTCTAGAATCCTTCTCCCAAATTTCTAAAACCCTGACTTCCCTATACTTCGAAGATCCCAAATTTAAATCCTTAAATTCCCAACCTAACCCAACCTCACACTACTTCTCTTAATTTCTAACTTCTAACCTCAAAAACCCCCAAACTTCCAAATCCTCTTCCTAAACGTCCACCTCAAATTTCCAAAACTCGAATCTACCAAAAATCGTTCATCCAAGCCGAATATGTAACACCCACTAAAGATGGAGATCCCGTGTCGAACAAAAAACCTCCACAGTTCAATCAATGTCATTCCAAGGGTTCTTACTCTAAGGGTTAAAATCTGTCTCCATCTTTTCTACCGAAAGAATTTGAAGCATCTTACAATTGGTTTATGCTTCTACTTACAATTAGGAATTTTTAAGCAAATGAATTTATATTAATTTAGGAATTGTTAAGCAAATGAATCTATATTAATTTAGGAATTTTTAAGCAAATGAATTTATATTAATTTTCTTAAAAATTCCTGAAGTAAGTAGAAGCATAAACTAAAATGCTTCAAATTAATATAAATTCATTTGTTTAAAAATTCCTAATTGCAAGTAGAAGCATAAATTAAAATGCTTCAAATTAATATAAATTCATTTGCTTTAAATAAATTCATCCAGTACATGTTAAATATTTGTTAAATTTAGTAGTCGAACGAAATTAGTGCCAGGGGATAAAGTGAGCATCGGAGCACGCTGGAAATTGATATCCGGTGATAATGTTGCACTTGTTGGGACATGTCTGTGTTTTGTCAATAACGTGGAACGTCAGCACGTGGAGAGTTACCATTAACATGTTTGCACAGGTACTACCGGAACGAATAAAACACCTGGGATCAAGCAACTGACTAGAAACTAGTTCGCTAAGTCACAAATAACAACGAAAATCTTGTTAATTTGGATTCCTCATCCCACGTATCATCCTCGTGCGTCTTTGTGAGAACGAACCGACATTTATCGTATGACCACTCACACCATAGGTCTTATCTTCACTAACATTAACTTGCAGAAGTACGGAGAACGCTGTAGATATATCACCATTTCAATTAGTTTGCAAGATTAATTTGTCTGGAACGCAACATATGTGCGGTCGTTTATTTTTCCTTGAAGTTGTGTACGGACATTCGTGCCAACATACAAATGCCAACTTGGCCTTAACGTATTAAAACCGTATTAACATGAGGTTAACTAACCTAACCTAACCGTATTAACATACGGTTGCTCACATCTGTCGACATCTGTCGATCATGATTTTTGCAGAAATTATTTAAGATGTTTAATAACGTTTTGTTTAATTAATATAAAAATGGTAAATATCTTAGAATACTTAAGGTGCAAAAATTTAAAAAAAAAATATATAAGAGACTAAATTCTGATTTTTGATACATGTGTTTTAATGTGATTGATATATGTTCGGGTTTTTGAAGTGTTCTCTTAACTTCTGTGTACTTCAACTCTCTCGTGGCTCAGATATATGTAAAATTGCAGTTAGACACTGTTTATTCACTATGCTGTAGAACGTGCACAATACATGGGTTTCGAAAGAGTTGAAGAAGCATACCTTGTCCTATTTTCCATTTACATTCTTGTTTGTAAGTTATGGGATACCTTATAATTTTGGAACAAAGTAAATTATGGATTTTAAGAAATATGCACCTGAAATGCACAGATTTGGATAGAATTTAATTTTGTATATTGACAACTGTTTTATGCAGGATTATTTAAAATAAACTAGGTTGTAAAATTAGTTGAAATAAACTAGACTGTAAAATTAAAATTATTTAACATAAACTGCACTACAAAATTAAAATTATTTTAAATAAACTAGACTGAAAAATTAAAATCATATAAAATACATTACACCATAAAATTAAAATTATATAAAATAAACTAGTCCACAAAATTAAAATTATTTACAATAAATTGGACTGTAAAATAAAAATTATTTAAAATGGACTAAAGTATAAAATTAAAATGATTTAAAATAGATTAAACTATAAAATTAAAATTATTTACAAAATTAAAATTATTTACAATAAACTGGACTGTAAAATAAAAATTATTTGAAATGGACTAAACTATAAAATTAAAATTATTTAAAATAGATTAAACTATAAAATTAAAATTGTATAAAATACATTGGACTATAAAATTAAAATTATTTTCCCCAATTTCTCCAAATTCCCCAAACTGTCAAATTCCTCAAATTCTCTGAAATCTCCAATTTTTCCCAAATTCCCTAAAATTCCCAATTTCTCCAAATTCCTCAAATTTCCATATTTCCAACTTTCCAAATTTACCAAATTGTATAAAATACATTGGACTATAAAATTAAAGTTACTGACAATTACGATAACTTCACTAGTTAAATCCTAACCTCACAATTTTAGTATTAATGAAAAAAGCAGTAATCTATGTTAAGATTTATAAAGAACGGCTCTGAAAAATACATATTTGTATTACGCCTTTTTATATAGACCAGCTGATTTAAAATTCTATCAAATGACTTGAATCAAACCAACTCTCCCTATACACCCTTGGGACTCCTTGAAAATGAAGGCAAACAGTGAAATGCTCATCTCCCTGTTCGTTCTTAGCTAAAGGAAATTTATACTATAATTTATTTGCGTGGAGATACAGGTTTTCTTAAAATTATAGTTCCTCAAAATCTTTGGTACAATAGAATTATTTTTATTATTACTTGCAATTAAGAAATGTATATTTTCTAAAATGTAAATGAACAAATTTATTAAATACAGGTTTTCTTAAAATTATAGCTCTTCAACATTAATGATGTTGAATAGAATTATTATTAATATAAAATTGCACTTAAAAAATTTATATTTTCTAAACTATAAATTAACAAATTTATAAAATACAGGCTTTCTTAAAATTGTGGGTTTTCAAGAGTTCAATTATACATTAAATAAATTTTAATTTAATTTAAACTTACCAAAGAATTTTAAAACTTTCTTAAAGTTGAATTAATTTATTAAGTCAATCACCAAAATTAAGTTATAAAAAAAATTGGCAGAGATGCTAAGATAAAAATGACATACATTATAAAAAATTAATAAATTAAATTAGTAAGGTGAATGCTAATAAAAAATCCAAAAATCCACATTTTACACAAAATCCCATTCCACCAAATAAAATAAAAGCTTGAACAGTAAAAACTAAAGATAATATATAACATATAAGTAAACTTAATATGACTGTAACTGCAAATTAACTTGAGGTATTATTAATGCAAACATAGACCTAACAAGTGTCCCATAACTTATGGACGATGGTGTAACTGCCTGAATACGAACGAAGAATTGTCACTCATATTATTGTTCTTCTGTGTCTAATTCTTATAATGCACTGCTAGGTATGACAGCAGAGGAGCACCACTAACGAGTTACTATCAGTGTAACTAAACGGTGGCTTATATATGTACATACATGTTTGTGTCAGATATTTTCTGCGGTGATCTTGTACGTACTGTAATCACGTGAAAGAATGTCAACTTTTATATTCCACCAAAGTGGTTTATATTTCACCATGCATAAAAAGCTAAAGAAAAGAGGCAACTTAACGTAACCTCAAACAGTTGGCCCCTGGCCATCGAATTGGGGCTACGTAAAATTTCATGTTTATGGTTATAATTGTCATATGTGGCAATTCATTGGCTAGGGACTGTAAATAGTATTACATTATTAGTTATTGTATTTCAATGATATATAAATCAAAGTGTATACAATAACAAATACAAATTTCAAAATTTCAATATTCCAAAATTCCAAAATTCTCAATTTCCCAAATTCTTAAATTCCCAAATTTCCCAAACTCTCAAATTTCCAAATTCTCCAAATTCCCCAAACTCTCAAATTTCGAAATTCTCAAGTTCCAGAATTCCCAAATTTCCAAATTCTCAAGTTCCCAAATTCCCAAATTCTCCAAACTCTCAACAATTTACCCATTTAACATTCCAATGTATCATTAAAATTAGTCGCAATATCGCCTTGTAACGGGGTTAGTAAAAAACTATATAAGTGAAGTAACCTCTGTATGAGTGTTAGCACAGGTCTCCTATATTTCAGCCTGTATAATTAAATATAGTATCAATGTTATTTAAGTACTCTCAAATTTCCAAATTCTCCAAATTCCCCAAACTCTCAAATTTCGAAATTCTCAAGTTCCAGAATTCCCAAATTTCCAAATTCTCAAGTTCCCAAATTCCCAAATTCCCCAAACTCTCAAATTTCCAAATTTCCCAAATCACCCGAACTCTCTAATTTCCATATTCCCCAAATTTCCCAAACTCTCAAATTTTCAAATTCTCAAGTTCCAAAATTCCCAAATTTCCAAATTCTCAAGTTCCCAAATTCCCAAATTCCCCAAACTCTCAAATTTCCAAATTTCCCAAATCCCCCAAACTCTCTAATTTCCATATTCCCCAAATTCCCCAAACTCTCAAATTTCCAAATTTCCCAAATCCCCTAAACTCTCAAATTTCCAAATTCCTCAAATCCCCCAAACTCTCAAATTTCCAAATTTCCCAAATCCCCCAAACTCTCAAATTTCCAGATTCCTCAAATCCCCCAAACTGCCCAAACTCTCAAATTTTCAAATTCCCCAAACAGAAGTATATGCTGTATTCACAACTAAACCTTGTGCAATCCAAAAGTCTAAAATTCCAAATGGTCAAAATTGCAAATAGTCAAAAGACACCTACAGCACATATTAGATCTTACAACAACATCACAGATCTAAAACTAAAAATGATTATATAAATCAGTGATTATGTACGTACAGGAAGAGTTGTTTCATTACAGCCATCAATAAACGTACTTCAACCAAATTTAAGAATAATAATATTGTAATGTTCAGAGAATTTGTAATGAAGCAACCCCGGGCTACATCAATAACAACCGCAATATGTACTTATGTGTTTCTCTTTCTGTCCACATTTCTATTTTAAATTCGGTGTAAGTAGACTCATTCATCAACGTCTGCTTCAACGATGATACGCATTTTTTAGGTACACATTACGAAGGAGTATCTACAACTCGAACCAATCGGGCTGGTTTTCGTGTTCTTCTTCGCCCTCATATTGGTTATTCAATTTACGGCGATGCTGTTCCATCGATTTGGCACGTTCGCACATATTTTAGCCAGCACCAGCTTGGATTGGTACTGCTGCAAGAAGGTACGGGTTATGTTCAATGAATTAGTAAATATTCTTGTAAATGTACTGCTGGATTCGTGTGATTTCAACCGGGTTTACTCGGACGTGTTCTCAAGATTATATGATCTTGAAATAAGGGAGTTTTTTAGTTTATCTTAAAATTAGGGGAGAGTTAGTGTTTCAGTAGTTTTGGGATCTTTAAAAAATTAGGGTAATTTGAGGTGACTTGCCTTGAAACCTTAGTTAGAATTTTAGGAGATTTATTTTTAAACTTAATTTAAAATTTTTGGAGATTCACCTTTAAACTTCAGTTGAAATTTAAGGAAATTCACCTTCAAGTTTAATTAAAAATTTTAACAGATTTACCTTAACACTTTGCCTAAAATTTAAGAAGATTTACTTTGAAACTTAATGCAAAATTTTAGCAGATTTACCTCAAAACTTTGCCTAAAATTTAAGGGGATTCACCTTCAAACTTCAGTTGAAATTTAAGGAAATTTACCTTCAAGTTTAATTTAAATTTTGAGATGATTTAGAGTGAACTTTGTATATAAAATGAAAGTAAAAGTCTAGTAACATTTCTTCCCCGTACTACACCCGGTATATTTAGGGTAAAATGTGAACCATAATGACGGTAATGATGGACTCGAGTTAATAGCAGCGTTTTTCTGTCTGGTTTATTAGACAAAGGATTTGTCGGAAGAAGCATTGTTATCGAAACACGCGGTGGAAATAGTGAGAGATTTACAAAGATTAGATGGAATGGAGGGTGATTATGAGGAAGGCAGTGGTAGCGGTCCCGGTCGAAGAAAGACGATAAGAAACCTCGAAAAGAGTCGCAGAAAGACGCAGGCAATCAATACCCTCGATGTCGCTTTCAGACAGCGATTCTTTAGCCTGTCAGAAGGAAACGGTAAGTTAAGACAATGTTACTTAATTATGTCGAAGAGAAAGTGACAAAAAATTGGGAAAAAATTATTTCTTTATCTAATTATGTTGTGAAGTATAATAGTATTTGACAAGCTTTCACGTAGTATGGTTTGTATGAAATTGTCTAATTGATCGCAAGGTATGGTAGAATTTCGTTATGCCATATATGAAGTAGTTGCAATAAAATTATTGTTAATTATTATTGCAATGGGTAGTTGTGTATAAAAACACAAAAATTGTGTATAATAATACAAGTATAGGTACTTAGTAGAATAGTGGACGAATATTGGATGTGTGATTGTTTATGTGAAAATTGCAATATAACGAGAGTCTACTGTAGTCTTGCAATATAACGGAGTCTACTTGTAGAGAGTCTGCAAGTGACTATACGTGTATTAGAATAATAGAGAAATATTGGGTGTGTGATTGTTTATGTGAAAATTGCAATATAACGAGAGTCTACTGTAGTCTTGCAATGTAACGAGAGTCTACTTGTAGAGAGTCTGCAAGTAACTATACTTGTGTTAGAATAATGGAGAAATATTGGGAGCGTGATTGTTTATGTGAAAATTGCAATATAACGAGTCTACTGTAGAATTAATAGAATATGTACATAATGAAGAATGAGGTTGATAGATTAAAAGAAAATTAAAGTATTGAGATATTTGAAATAATTACCTCAGATGTTTTATAGTTAATAGAGCTTTATTTGTTTATAAAATATAGTTCCGATATATTGCCGATGACAGAGTTTTAGAAGGTGCTTGTAGTGATTTTTGCAAAGTTTTATTATCAAGAATAAATAGGAAAAATTAGTGTACGTAGTATGTTTGAAAATAGTAGAATTTGTATAAAGATGATTAGTACATATAAGATACTCAACAGAATAATGTAAGAGAATTATTTAAGAAGGAATTTGAGAAATAAATTTAAAAATTCTTAACGACGATTTCAAATATTCTCACAACAATGACTATGATTTCATAATTTCGTTAAATACAGTTGTATTTTGTTATATTGCCACAAATAAAGATCTGTATAAAATTCTTCTAATGACCACAGTAAGTAAATAAATTTACAAAGTTAATTGAGAAAGAGAAAGAGCTTCAAATATTTTATCAACAATGACTATTATTTTATAATTTCATAAAACCCAGTTGTGTTTCGTTATATTGCCACAAATAAAATTCTGTATAAAATTCTTGCAATGACCACAGTAAGTAAATAAATTCACCAAGTAAATTTGTTACTTCTACTTCAATTTGCCATTTTTATTTAATTTATTTCCTCTTAATATAAAAAATGCACGATTTTAGCACAGAATTTTGTTTTTGAAACGCCCTGTATAAACGGTATGTTGATGATATGTACGAATCTCGTATTTCTTTTATGTAGCCATCACGTATTCAAGCGCGTGACGGTATTTCCGATATTCAAATCAGGGTTGCTGGAAACTTTACCCTAAAATTTATGAAAAAAATCGCACATTCGAAAAAATGATAAATAGGAACTGCCTTTTCAAACCTTTTCTCTTCTTTTACAAGTCAATACACTACATTTATTTATTTATTTATTAAAACGCTTTTTATTATAGGGAATCAAGGTTCATACATATAACAGTGACAATTAATTTTTTATTAATATTTTCTATAACATTTAGGTTATGTGTTTATATAAACATTTAGGTTATGAATTTTATATAAACATTTCGGTTATGAATTTTACTTAAACATTTAGGTTATGAATTTTATCTAAACATTTAGGTTAGAGATTTTATATAAACATTTGTGTTATGAATTTTATATAAACATTTGGGTTATGAATTTTATAGAAACATTTGGGTTATGAATTTTATATAAACATTTAGATTATGAATTTTATATAAGCATTTGGGTTATGAATTTTATTTAAACATTTAGTTCATGAATTTTATATAAACATTTGGGTTATGAATTTTATATAAATATTTAGGTCTTGTATTTTATACAACCATTTAGGATTAGATGACATACTTCAATGAATTTTATATAAACATTTGGTTATGAATTTTATATAAACATTTGGGTTATGAATTTTATATAAACATTTGGGTTATGAATTTTATATAAATATTTAGGTCTTGTATTTTATACAACCATTTAGGATTAGATGACATACTTCATTTTCAGCATTACAATAAAAATTGTTAATAAACTTTTAACATATATTTTCTATAGTAATAAAAAGAAAAAATACTAAAATTGAAATATTATATTTTTGTTTAGGTTTACCAAGAAATATGTCAACAAGACGTTCAGCGAAAGCATTCAAGGCATTCGAGGGACGCAGAAACAGCATAATGGCGATGAGGAGGAAATCGCAAATGCAAACCTTAGGAGCGAATAATATTTACGGAGTAGCAGGGAATCCTTTAGGAATTCAAGGTCGTCCATCGAGAAGTAGCCAGATTTCTGTTAAAGACGTGTTCGAGGGACACGCTGGACACACGAATTCTGCTTACGAGCCCGACGAGAATTCCGGAAGTAGCCTCAGGCTTCACAACTTAGGTCAAAGTACGTGGAGAGAGGCGAACACTAATATCTGATCGCATATTTTCATGAATGTATGTAATTTTTTCGATGTGATTCAAGTAGTGATATTGTAAAATTAATTTTTCAATTTGTAGGTTTTTACATTTTTTATTTTTTTATAATTTTTTAATTTTTAGATTATAATTGGACCTTGAGATTTACAGAGTTTGAGGTCATATATCTGAATTTTTAAATTTGTGGGTTTTCAGATTTACAAATTTTTATAGTTCACATTTTTTTATTTCCAAAAGTTCAAATGTTGAGATTTCTAAATTTCAAATTTTTCACATTTTTACGTTTCTAAATTTTTAGTTCTCAAATTCCTAAGTTTCTACATTTTCAAGTTTTCAAATTTCCAAATTTCAAAAATTCAATATTTCAAAATTCAAAAATTCCTAAGTACCTAAATACCCAAATTTCCCAAATTCCCCAAATTCCCTAAAATCTCCAATTTCCCAAATTCCCCAAATTCCCTAAAATCTCCAATTTCTCCAAATTCCCCAAATTCCCTAAAATTCTCCAAATTTCCCAAATTCCCAAATTCCCAAATTCCCAAATTCCCAAATTCCCAAATTCCCAAATTCCCAAATTCCCAAATTCCCAAATTCCCAAATTCCCAAATTCCCAAATTCCCAAATTCCCAAATTCCCAAATTCCCAAATTCCCAAATTCCCAAATTCCCAAATTCCAAATTTCCCAAATTCCCAAATTCCCAAATTCCCAAATTCCCAAATTCACCAAACTCTCAAATTTCTTAAATTCCCCAAATTCTCAAATTTCTCAAATTCCCCTAAATCTCTTAAATTTCCAATTTTCCCAAATTTCCTAAAATCACCAATTTCTCCAAATGTCCAAGATACCTTAAAATCTCCAAATTCTCCAAATTCCCAAATTCCCAAATTCCCAAATTTCCAAAATTCCTAAATTCTCAAACTCACCTAACTCTCAAATTCCTCAAATTCTCAAATTCTCAAATTCTCAAATTCCTCAAATTCTCCAAATTCTGTAAAATCCCCAATTTCTCCAAACTCCCCAAATTCCCCAAATATACTGTAATCTCAATTTTCCCTAGGAAAGTCATCTTCACCCCATACTTTGCTATTGACCATAATATCACAAGCAGCTCATTCAAAAACAAGTACTATAAATCACCATCCAAAAATGAAATTATATTATCATTTAAATACCAAAAATGATATACCGCGATTTAAAAATATCCCAAAATGCAAAAGTAATTTGAACTGACCAAAACATTTAACTTTCCAGAAGAAAAACGATAATGGCCATTTCCACGTAACATTCAACGGACCGAAAGTGAAATATAAAATGGCCGCAATACGACAAAATGGAAGAATCCCGTAAACATCAGCACGCGTAACGCGTCTAACAATTATTCAATAATTCGAGTACATATGACATAAGATCGCATAGAGAAGTATGAAAAAGACTGCCTTCGAGTAGACTAATTTATGAAGAAATGAAATCGGGGCCGTCTTTAAACTCCCCCTTATTTATTTTAAAAAAGAACGAAGTTCCTTATTTTTAAAGAAAATACATTCGATGCGGAGAGTAAGTACAAGAGTAGGTGCAAGAAGACTTTGCTTTGATGTCTATAGCGTTCCTCTACGTTGCTTCTTTTGGCGGGAAATTTAAATCGAACGAATGTAATATCATGTGAGCTTTTAATTTTTTAGAAATCTACTTGTTATACATTTTTTTTATAATACTAATATTAGCTTTTGAAATATTTACATCAATTTTGCAATGTTGGAAAGTTGGAAAAGAAAGGTATATGCTAAAATGATTAAATATATATTATAGAAATGATTGTTAAAAATAATTTATAACGACGAATTATTTTTTAGAAAAGAATACAAATTTGTTAGAAAGAAATGACGGAATATTTATTACATATAAATTACTTGTAAATGTGTTACAGAGAACAAAACTTCTATTTATTATAAATTACAAATAAATAAATAATAACAAATTACATAGAAATTTGTTTTAAACGTTACGAATAAATGACAGAAGATTGTGCAAGTATAAAGCATTGTCCGACGCCATACTTGCACACTACGTACATTTTCCTACCGCGTTTTATTTGGCACAACCAGATTATGTTACTCTCTCTAAAAGTAATTTTTTGTCGTCTCTTGTATCTACTCTTTGCTCCAAGTTCGTGGACTTCGAGTGCTTTTAAAGTTGACTCAAAACGTCGTTAAACTTCGTAGAGTTAAAGACAGTCCTGAATAAAAAAGGACACCTTTTCTTTTTTGTTAAATCGTGACTAGGTATTTAAGATAAACGAACTGACCGGTAAATAGCGATATTTGATAGTGCAAGTATCGTGTGATAATTGACGGTTTTACACGATGTTTTACGGTACAGTAGACACTCGTTATATTGTCGTGGATAGGAAAAAGGATCCTTGGAATATGCGATGTAGCAAGAGGTTTTGTGTAACGTTTAACTGCCTGAGCACTGCCACCATTAATAAGGCGTCTTCGTGCGCCTTCGTATGCCTCCGTATGTGTTCAAGCGCCTTCGTGCGCCTTCGTGCGCCTTCGTGCGCCTTCGTGCAATCTCGTACGCCTTCGTACGTCTTCGTGCACTCTCGTACGTTTTCGTACGTCTTCGTGCACCTTCAAGGAAAGCTAACGCGACTACCAATATAACGAGGGACTACTGTATCAGGGAGTACACTCAGTCGTTCATATTTGTGCGTGGCAGTAATCCCGCGCTTACATTTTTGCATATGCTCTTTTAAACGTGATACCGCCATTTGTAATATTTAATAGACGTAGGTTTCTTTTTGTACATATCGCGAGCGTAAGTGTAAATTTAAGCTAGAGAAAATGTTCTGTTGATTGGAGATTAAATAAAATTCGAACGATCAACATTCAATTGCGAGTTTTATTTTAATGTAACCATACTCCATTGTATTAGAGGAAAATTCCCTATATTCCCTATATTTTATGAAAAATCGCAAATTGGTAAGTTTGGAGTTGAGATAGTTTGAGGATATTTTTAGAATTGTAATTAATGTAATATTTTTAGCATTATAATCGACATAATGTTTTTAAGAAAGTAATTAATTTATATTATACTAATTTTGGTATGTTATTTGACATTTAGCATATTAATCTTTAGAATTATATTTAATATAATATTTTTATATAAATAATTTAAATAAATTAAATCCATTTAAATAAATAATTTTCTGACCCATTTGAGTAAATAATTACTTACTAATATATTTGAATAAATAATTATTCACTAGTCTATTTGAATATATAATTATTTGCTAGTCAAATAAATAATTATTTACCTGTCTATTTAAATAAATATTTGTTAATCCATTTGAATAAGTAATTATTTGTTAATCCATTTGAATAAATAATTATTTGTTAACCCATTTGAATAAATAATTACATACTTGTATATTCCAATAAATAAATATTTATGTCTGTCGAAAAGCTTCTGTAATACATATAACATAAGCAGCCATCATGTAATCGTTAATACTACTTCGCACAGTCCACCCTTCATAAAATCCCTCTGGAGGCAGTGCCCAATTCGTCAGGAGATAAGGATAATTTGCTACTGCTGCATAATTATTACCCACTGAATATCTATAATAAAATAACCATCGAATTAACTACAATGACAATATAACAAAGAACGGTGATTCACTTACGCGAAACAAACGGTGACAAACACCCAAAGCAATATGGCGGATTTGGGTTCAGACGTGGATTTTAATCGGGAGGGTATATAACGATACTGCCGTGTTTCAATTTTCTATAAATTACGAAAAATAGTTTATATAAATTTTCTATTAGTTATGAAAAATAATTTATGTAAAATAGAGTCAAATGTAGCCTTTATGCCATAAATCTAGTTGGAAAGTATTTGAGGTTTTTGAAGACCCAGGCGTGTTCTAACGTTTCGCGCGTGAACCTTTGCTTTGTCTGTTACGGTCGCTTTCTATGCCACGTGTATTTTTCCAACGGACAGACGTTTGAAAAATTCAGCAGAAAGCAACTGACTTTCATGGAAAACGAATCGCACTTGTATAGTCATAGCTTTTGTTCGCGTTATGGCTCAGACTCCTAATTGCTACATGTTATCATTTTTATTAAAATATACAGGGTGTCTCACAACTAGTGAAGGTCCTTGACATGGCGGATAGCTGACGTGATTCTGAATAAGATTTCCCTTTGCAAAAATGGGGTTGGAAACTCCGTTTTTAAATTATTAAGGAAGAACACGGACCAATCAGAGCGCGAGGATTATTATGTGTTGAATTACTTTCACTACGCTTTAGATTACCACGCGTAAAATTACCGCACGTTGCATTACTACGCGTTGCATTACTATGTACGCGAGGATTATTACGCGTTGGACTTCTACGCGTCGAATATCCACGCGCTGGATTACTACGCGTTGGATAC